TCATGGCGTTTCATGCTTCAGTTGTTTCTTACCATTCTATGAAACTTTAAATTGGTGAAAATTGTATGACACAAACATCCCTTCTTTGGTGTGTAGTTTACCGCAAATAAACTAAAATCACGATCTTATTTCACATTATATTTTTTTGTTTATATGAAAGATCGAGTTTAGAATTGATCGATTCTCGAGTTACGTAGCGGCCTTTTCAGCTGCATAACGTGGAATATCGAAGCGATTGCGAATGATGAAATCTATAAATCGGAGGAAGGAGATACGTTCTGAAAATCAGAGATGGAAAGGTCTCTGGACTTAAAGACAATCCGATTTTTTTAGCATTGTTTGAAGCCTAGTCTAACTTTTGGGCACCTGAAACATATTTAATCAGACAATTGTAGGCTTAGTCCTGTTCGCTTCTAAATAAAAATATCGATTGTAGTGTTCTGGGCTCTGGAGCTGTCGTCGTCTCCTAGGTGGTTTCCAAAGTTTCAGAGGAACGTATCGCCTCTATCTTCAGAGTATATTCTATATAGAGGCTACACGTTTCTCTGAAACGTTGGCAACCACCTAGGAGACGACACGGCGTCACATCCCAGAACATTACAATCGATAATTTTATTCATAAGAATAAACCTCTTAAGTCCACAGTATGAGCGACATTGAAAATCTTAAACAGGCATACTAGAGCCAATTTCCTTTAAAACTCGTTTTTGTAGAAAAACTCTAATTCCGAGTTTCAAATTTACAATTAATAGTGTTCACTTTGTCATGATCCAGGAGTGGAGTTGGATTTCGCAATCCCGATAATTTGCTGTGCATCCAAAGGGTTGCGGTTTCGAATATCAGTAGAGGCATCTCACCTGCTGGTAGAGCCATCAACGGACCCAGATGTCACTTTAAACTGACACATAACCCTGGGGTCTGGTTTCTGTACAGATAAGCTATGGTTCAAGGTCACTCATGAAAGCCATTGTAATACGTCATCAGTCAGAAAGAGCCATGGTTCTCATGTAGACTAACTCCACGACACAGCCTTTCTTGACAAGCTAATAGTCGTTCATATGACCTAAAAATTCTCTGCCTTTTCTGGAACCTGAAGGTTCATTATCATTTTCACAATACCAGGCCAATGTCTCATATATTGAGCCAGATAAGTCTTGATAAGATTTCAGGTTCTCACGGCAGCGAAAATGAAAATGACTGTCTTCTGGGACGTTAACGTCGGCAAACTTCTATCAGAGAACACGGTACATCATCTCAGAAAATGGTCTTATTCACGAAGTTCATTTGTTTGTGATTTTTCTTCTATATATAAAGACGAAAATGGAGTCCTTAATAGTAAACTTTACGTCTGATTAGTATGTAAATTTTTAGCGTTAGCACAGTATTAAAATCATTCGTGTTTAACCTTCAAGATAAACGAACTTGCATAATTTAGTATAAGATGCTGACGTACACATCTGCAGTGTATAATAATCTCAACCATTAAAATCACTAAACAAAATCCGACTATGATGAACATCTACATAAAAATCTCGAAATTCAGACATCGTAAGTCGGAGCCCTCTGTAACGCTTCTTACGTATAAGACAGACTTTAAAGTACTTTCTAAGTGCAAACCAAATATTGTGTTTAACTATAATCACTTCTTTCAATGCGACTTTAATTGGTTTTTGTATTTCTGCCTCCGTACACTTTCGACATGATCTTCTCACTACTTACACAGCCAAAACAGCAACATTTCATTCAAAGCTTAAGAAAAACTCGGGGCTGAATATAATACATGCTACTTTACCACAGCCAGCATCATCTTTGAGATGCTACAACTGTTTACTGAAGCCTCTCGAAGAAAACTTTACAAGAGCCAAAAATTATTTCGCACTAGTCAATGTAATTCACCATATAACTCCATTTCATTCGACCACGTCAGTTACAAAGTGCTAAGAGGGGCTAGCTATGAGCAGCCCTCAATTTGTCTCACAGAAAGCAGTCATTTCCATTAAACTTTTCACTCTAGAGACACTGCAACCACATCCATGTCGATATTTGCTGATACCATGTCCTCCATATTCAAGACGCTTAGCTATGTTTATGGGAGGTTCTTAGGCCTGTATAAATGCGTATAAAGGCCAAAGGCCTGTGAAATAGCTGAAGTCTGTGGCCAGTAAGCTGTAAGATGATGTCGTATAGCAGGAAGTTCTGTTAAATAAATACTTTCCGTTTCTCTCCACATAACTATTCGCCTTGGTTGGGTTGTATATGAAATATGCAACTTTTTCGAGAAGAGCTAGCTAATCGACACTCGAGGGCAACTGTTAAACAGAAGCACAAAAACATGTTTACTCCTGTAGTTGTATTACAGACATCTTAATAGAGACAACTGCACCACGTATCGTATTGCGAATCGCGAGAGAAATTACTTAAGAACAACCACAACTCTTCATTGTAAATCCACACTGTACGAGAGCTGTTTGAAGAAGAGCGAGGTAATGAACGAAGTTGTTACTCTAAAGTCTATTGTTTGTCGTTTAAGCCTTTGAAACACAGAGTTCGTTTAATTACTATTTAAAATCCAGTTCTTATAATAACGAAACAGCGTTATAAATATCGTTTGGTTAATTCTGTTTAAAGGATAAATCACTTTTATGTTCTGAGTATCATACGAAAGTAGAAAAATAGAGAGTTACTGGATGTTAAAGCATGTCAACAAGGACGGAACATCCACGTTAACCGTGTTAGGCCGGATAACATTTTGAAAAACAAAGGTCTTCTGCCTTACCTTCGTGGTTCATTGGTACTCCATACACTGGAACACAAAAGAACCAATGAGACAAAATGCGTCGTTGGCCAGCTCCAGTTAGGCAGGCGTTGTCGAGCGTGACAACGCCTGGATGACTGGAGATGGCAAACGATGCATTCGATAAAACTGACGATGTAGAAAGAATAAATGTGTGTTATGAAGATGTATGGGGAGAACATGCAGCTTCCCATGAACAATTTTTTTGGGTGAGCCCAAAGCTGATGTGGGTGTGATGTCAAGGAGAAAAACCCTTCATTTTAGTTCAAAATATTACTACATGATAGATCAAAGAACTTATCCATTATAGTAGAAGAAATATGTGGAAAGACAGTGTCAATCAAATGGATGAAGACAGGTGGTGTAAATTAGCATAGAATTATAAAATGCTGCTGCTTCTCCTTCTCCTCCTACTCATTCTCCTCCTCCTCCTCCTCCTCCTCCTCCCCTCCTTCTCCTCCTCCTCCTCCTCCTCCTCCTCCTTCTCCTTCTCCTCCTCCTCCTCCTTCTTCTCCTTATTCTTCTTCTTCTCCTCCTCCTCCTCTTCCTCGTATTAATTACGCTTGCTAAGTCTGTATTCTTCAACTCTTCAAAAAACTGAACTTTCCATCTTTTTTTGGGACAGCCTCTATTTCATTTTCCCATTAGATTGTATTTAAGTGCTAATTTTGGTAGTCCCTCATTTTGCATCTTTTGATGTGCCTAAAAACTAGGAAGGGGGAAAGTAAAAGTAAGACTTGTACACTGAAAAGAGAATTTTGAGACCAGTCAAGGTACTGAATTACAAGAAGAATGTGTGTGCTTGAGGAATGTTATCCTTCCAGAAGACAGACTCATTAGACTACATGAAGCTACTTACAGCAATTTACATACACAAGGCCAGAATTGAAGTAATGGCTTAACGCTGTTTATGCAGACAGCTGTCTTCATATGCCTGTGTCAGGTTTCGCAGTTAATGACTATTAATGACACTTTACTTTGGCTTATTTTCAGAATTCATCATCATGGAAGGGCAATAAAGGGTCAACTTTAGAAACTCATGTCGTAAAGAACACAGTTAGCCATTTAGTCTACAACTGACTTTGCCGCGTGTTTGTTGCAGTTGTAGATGTGATATTTAGTGCGTGTTATTACATCAGTTATAAAAAATGGATAAAACACAGTATGGTTTTGGAGCCATTTTGTTATTAGTTGAAGCAACAATCATCATTCAGATGGCCACAATGGCTGATTATCATTCACATGCAAAAGCCACTGACAATGTAGGAAATAATAATGCACAACTACCAAAGTATTACCGCGAGGAAGAAAATATACTTCGTAAGAAACATCCAGGTAAAGCATATTGAAATATGTGCAGCACTACCCACAAATCAAAAAAAAAAAAAAAAAAAAAAATAGGAGAGAG